AAAAAAAAAAAAAAAAAAAAAAAAAAAAAAAAAAAAAAAAAAAAAAAAAAAAAAAAAAAAGAGAAGACCGAGACAGCCACAATCAGACAGAAAACGGTAAATTCAAGTCAAAATAATATGTGCATAAATACAATCCAAAAGACAAAATGAGGAGTGGTTTGAAATTAGAACTAACAGTTTCGCAAAAGCCGACGAATAGAGTCCCAGATTGCTTACCAACATATTTTCAGTTGTAGGAGTGAGGAAAGAAATTTTCGCAGAATTAGAACCATCCAATCCAACAATTTCACCGTCATACCAACGTCCATCAGTGTGCCGAAATCTGCATTTCGATCCAACGACGAAACTCTGATCCTCTGGTGATTCAGGTTCGACGTCCGTAGAATGAAGAGGCTCCACCTTAACATCCTCCGCTGCGTTACTATCACGACCACACAACACCAAATCTGCTTCTCTTAGTAATCTAGAACGCTTAAGGTGAAGCAGCCCTTCCTCGGCATCTTTAATTGCTTGGACAAGCTCATCATGAACCTTGACATCAACAGATTATATTCAAATAAATCAACAAGCAGAGGTCTTCAAAACTTCAAAAATAATAATCAAATTCAATAAGAGGCGATCACGCATTCCTCTCATGAATATTCTCAAAGCCAAACGGAAATTCATATTGGACAAAAGAACGTACCTCGAGAAGCTCCGGATTGGAGGCATCGGAGGCTAAGGCATCTTGCAAGGCGGCGAGAGATTCTCTCTGCTCATGCAATTGAACCTCTAGCTGGTGCTCCAGAACTCTCTCTTCGTCGTTCGCCATTGCCTCCTCGCGCGAGATTGTATGAGCCTCTATGTGGGAGAGATGAAGAGCGCGGCATCATTGGAGCCAAATCCTACTGCCATGGCTCGACCCAGTGCTCAATTCACTGGGCTGGATCGAATCAAAATCTTTCTGGGCTTTAGATCATGGACTCTGTTAGGCCTCCAAAGTGTAACATAAGGCCCATTTTAAGTCTCCGTTCCGCTCCAAAGAGAGAATAATTAAATAAAATGAAAAATCCAACTCACATTGTAAATATTTATATATTAATTAAATAAAGTCGAGGCTAAGAACCCCAACCGAGTTCCTACTTTCATGAGCAATATTGGATGATGAAAGTCCCACATTGGTTAATTTAGGGAATAGTCATGGGTTTATAATCAAAGCAATACACTCTCCATTGGTATGAAGCCTTTTGGGGAGCCCAAAGCAAATCCATGAGAGCTAATCTAGGAGAGCTTATGCAAGCAAATCCATGAGAGCTAATCTAGGAGAGCTTATGCAAGCAAATCCATGAGAGCTAATCTAGGAGAGCTTATGCAAGCAAATCCATGAGAGCTAATCTAGGAGAGCTTATGCTCAAAGTGGACAATATCATACCATTGTGGGGAGTCGTGTTCTTTCGAAGAATCTTCATCTTCATGTTCTCCCACTCCTTTCCAAATTTCCTGTAGAAACCCATCTTCGGGATGGGTAAAATATACATTTCTAGATACACGAGCACAAGGTTTTATAGTTCCTTAATTTTGGAAAGTAGGTCATATTACAGGTCAAAATTTTGGATTACTTACGTCAAATTAAATTTTCTTTAGTGATAACAATTCTATTGGCCCATGATGGGGTATATCCAAAATGTCTTAGCTTTGATTCCTTCCATTGAAGATCAAATAAAAGGCGGCGGAGTTCTCCATTTCGATTCAAGTGACCGACCTTGATTCTGATCAATTCACCCAAGCTAATGGAGCTCACACCTCAGCAGCTGATCGCCTACAATGGCACCGACCCATCGAAGCCCATCTATGTGGCTTTGAAGGGCCGCATCTTCGACGTCACAACAGGCGTTTCTTTCTACGGCCCCGGTGGCGCCTACGCCATGTTCGCTGGCAAGGACGCAAGCAGAGCTCTGGCCAAGATGACCAAGAATGAGGAGGACATCAATTCTTCGCTCGAAGGCCTCTCCGAGAAAGAGATCGGTGTTCTCAACGACTGGGAGAAGAAATTTGAAGCTAAGTACCCTATTGTTGGTCGCGTTGTTTCTTAAACATCTTAGATTGTGTGGGACAAGTTTATGTGTTTCGCTGTGTGGTTTCTGTTGAAATTTCGTGTTATTTCCGAGCATTCTGATATATCTTATTGTTCAGAAGTCTTTAATGAATTGCTGTTCGATAATATGCTCATCTCTGAAGATGAGATTGTTAAAATGACTGTAAACTTGTTGTTCTTGGTCGAATAAGGATCTTCCATGACGGATTGGTATCAGTATGAACTGCTTAGTGAAATAAGAACTTGCCTACTTATATCAGCTCTGTTTATTATGGATTATCATATGGTTTCTTATGGTTTGGAGTCACTGATTCTAGAATAGATTCATTTCTTCATTTTATCAACGGAATATGCTGGTGGTAGGAAGGATCTCTGTGCAGACTGTTGTTGTTCTTTATTGTTTTCTGGTTAGGTTTTCTTTTGTTTCACAATTCAATTTATGTTTGTCTGCGTTTATCCTGAGTTTGAATGATTGGGGCTTTTAGGATTGCTCATACAGGGGAGTTCCATTTCTATAGGGAACAGCCGTACTTCGTTGTGGGTAATGGAAGGGGTAAGGAGGATAGGTAGCATAGGCTAAGAATGAGGATTTCCGTATACATTTGTGAGAACTCACCTCGGTTGAAGAGGAGAACAAAACATTCCTTATAAGTGTGTAGAAACCTCTCCTTAGTAGACGCGTTTTAAAACCTTGAGGCTGACTGCGATGTGTAACGATCCAAAGCGGACAATATCTACTAGTGGTGGGCTTGGACTGTTACAAATGATATCAAAGCCAGACACTGGACAGTGTGCCAGCGAGAACGTTGGATTCCCAAAAGGGGGTGGATTGTGAGATCCCACGTCAGTTGGAGAGGATAACAAAGCATTCCTTATAAGAGTGTGGAAACCTCTCCCTAGTAGATGGCGATACGTAATGAGCCAAAGCGGACAATACCTACTAGTGGTGGGCTTAGACTGTTATCACATTGTTGTTCATGGATGAAGTCTGTAGTTTCTTTTCGTTGAAATAGACTATAAAAGGGCTCTACTGGCACATCTTTAAAATCATAACACACACTTGTCAAGAAAGTTACCCCTAGTGAGGAGCTCTGAAAGGCAGCTTGTAATATCATTTACATAGCACCATGATAAGCCTTTTTTTCCCATGAAGGAATGACCCGTAGACGCCAAAATCAAAATGGATAAATTAGTGGTTCAAGGCTTCCTTCTTGAAACATAGACAATAAACTTGAAGAGGGATGATCAAATGAGGAGTCCTTGTTCCCACTTTGTCTTGGACATTTAAACTTCATTATGTAAGGGACCAAACGAAAAAACTTCACTTTCCTTGGCTCGTTTCCTTCTCAAACTAGCTTAATCATTGTCAAAGATGTCTCGGGGCTCTTATTATTTGGCTCTAGGTAGGTCTCGGGGCTCTTATTATTCGGCTCGAGGTAGGTGGACTTGCTTGGGAGGAACCAGAAGCTTCCAGATTTCAAGGTCTTGCTATCCAACTTTCAACCTCTCTATCAAACTAGTTTCTTCTCAACCCTAAATCCCACCCTAGATGGCTAGAGCTGCAGCAATCTTAATCAAAGAAAGCTTTTTTTAGTAGGCCAGCCAGAGGTGAGGGAAGGGAAGCCCACTCCCAACTAGCTAGAACGATGGGTTGTACCATAGTCTTCCCCACCCACCTTCAAAACATAGGCTTGGAATTCGTTCTGTTCGATGTAGTTGCTACCATGAGTTGATTGGATTAAGTTAATACTCCTCCTCTTGAATCTTGTAATAGCCTAAGCTCACCGCTAATAAATATTGTATTCTTTAGGCTTTTCATTTCCGACTTCCCCTCAAGGTTGTTAAAACGCACCTACTAGAGAGAGGTTTCCACACTTTTATAAATAATGTTTCGTTCTCCTCCCCAACCGATGTAGGATCTCACAATCCATCCCCCTTCGGAGCCCAAAATCCTCGTTAGCAAATCGCCCGGTGTTTGGCTTTGATACCATTTGTAGCAGACCAATTCCACCACCAGTAGATATTGTCCTCTTTGGGCTTTCCTTTTCAGATTTTCCCTCAAGGTTTGTAAAACGCATTTGCTAAGGAAGAATTTTCACACTTTTATAAAGAATGTTTCGTTCTCCTCCCCAATCATCTACACCTATACGATCAAACTCACCTACCTCCTGAAGAATGCATTTGAAGAGAAAACTAAAGATAGAACTGTCGAAGTATATGGTGTTTTTGATAGCCATAGAGCTCTTGTTTTCATGGTCATTTAATATATTGATTTCTTTCCGCTTTGATGTTTGAGTATCAGTGATAAGAACAAGAATATTCACTCATTTAGGTGACCATCCAGATTTTTCCAATATTTTTTTTTTTTTACAACTATTTGCCCAGATTTTCCAACTTTTTTCCACGTAATACAGATGCCCAGTCAGATTTATTATGTCCACCGTGGAATTTTGTCAATACTAGAACCAAACTTTTTAAAAGTTCAGAAGTTTCTTTTTATTAAAAAAAATTGAGGAACATTAGGTTTTTTTTATTTATTTATTAATTTTTTAAAAATAATTTAGCCTAAATATTCATTGCAGTAAGAATCCGCCCAAAGAAAAGATTTGGAACGGATTATCTTGATGGTCTATGACTGCTATGGATGGTCCGATACTAAATAAATGCGTATCACCTCTAGATGGAAGCAGATTTCCTTTAAAAAGTAGTTTTGTGCCATCTACTAAAGCTTGTGATTCTCGATACAGTAGTCAAAATAGGGACAAGCACCCTAGAATTCCATAGACTTCGTTTAAGAATTCCAATCTCGAAAAATAATTGATATCTTGGACTTGTGATGTATCAATTATCATTTTAACGATCTAACTTCTCCCATAATGATATCTATGCTACCTAGTATTGTCATAATATCAGCTAATTTCATTCTTTTAACTAATTAAGAAAGAATTTTCAAATTGATAAAACCCGATAGAATCTTCCATTTCCAAAGAAAACCACCCTATCCCCTATCAAAAAAATGCCCAATTCTAAACAAGATTACTTAAATGATCATCATACATAGGAAATGCAAAGGAACAAACTCATGACTTATAATAGGTAACTCTCGTGTCCATCCACTAATTAAATATAACTTAAAAACGTAAAAATAATACTCTAAAATTGAAAAATACAAAAAAATATGCATGGTATAATCTTGTCATTCACCATGTATGGAATAGACTTCTATTTGTCAGAATCTGAATTTTATGTTTAATGAAACCCTAAACTTTCAAATGTGTTAATTCATGAATTTTAATAATTATCTTTAAAGTCTAAATATGTAATTTTGAATATTCAAAGAATAATTAAATTTTTGTTGAGGAATTAATATTTAAACAATTTATTGAACATTTATTAGTTAACAATTTAATCCAAATTTAGATAAAAATAAAAATGAAAAATGAAAAAATGAAAAATTTAAAATAACTGTGGGGTTGGTGGGCGGAATAAAGATCCCTCAGAAAATATTAAGTAATTAAATAATAAAATATTTGAAATGACGGCATCGCAAATTGAGCGTGAGATTTGCGTAGGACAGAGAGCCAACCAACCTTTAAACACTGCGTTTAGACAAAAAGAGAGATTAAAAAAAAAAAAAAACAAATTCTCTCTCCCCGCCATTACAAAATCAGCATTCCCTTGCCTTGTCCCCACTTTCACGGAACCATTAAGAGTGCGCCACGTGTCTCTTCTACAAAACCCCTAGCTCTTTGAGTTTTATTGAATTCTTTGTCCTGACGTTCCTTCTCACCCAAAAGGGTGTACCTACGTCGAATCTCTGGCCCCATTGAGCCATTGATGCTTTAATTGTCTAAGTTTTGTTCTTCAAGTTCTTTGGCTGCTTCCCTTGTGAATCTCGTCTTTAATTACCCTTTTTTCGTTGAATAGGAAAGGATTATAGCTGTAAAGAACTAGATCTGAAAAGGGTTTTCCCCCCTTTTCGTTTAAGTTCTGGTTGGTCAAACCACCTCTAGGAAGAAGATATCTCAGCTTCTTCACTTAGAACACATTTTTTCCCATCTATTCTGAAGTTTTGTATCATTTCTTCTTCCACCCAGATCAGATTCTTGCGATTGATTGCTTTTGTTTCTGTTTTTGGAGCTTTTGATTTGCTATCAATGGTGGGTAGTTTCGAGATGAACCCATTTGGGGCATTTCAAATTTATTAGAGTGAGTTCTTCATCCGTTTGATTTTGAAGCTTAGGAAACGGTTTTTCTAGGAACTGGTTGCGATTTGATCAGTTCAGGAAACTCTGTTTTTCTGAACTGGTTATACTTTTGCCTAGATTGATGGTGGAGGAAGATAAGTTTAATGTCTTTGATGAAGATTTGGAAGAAGATGAACTCCAGAAAGAGTCTAGTGTCTCTATTGGCACGGCGGTTTATTGGTTCAAAGCACTTGTTTCTGAAATGCATTGGAGTTTTGTATTTGGAGTAGTGATTGTTTATGGGATTAGTCAAGGATTGGGCGGTGCACTTAACCGTGTCGCCACCGAGTACTACATGAAGGATGTTCAGAAAGTGCAGCCTTCTGAAGCACAGGTTTATTCTGGCATTACCTCAATTCCATGGATGGTTAAGCCTATTTGGGGTCTTTTCACTGACTTAGTCCCTGTTCTTGGATACCATCGGCGGCCTTACTTTGTGTTTGCAGGTAAAGTTATATGCGGTGTTTTGTTGATCCCCCCTTGCATTTATGCTTTGATTCAACAAAATACTAAATGTTAAGCTAAGAATGAACTAAGTGGGGCTTGTTGTTTGAATGTGTGCATTGAATTAATATTGTTTTATATCGAATCTCTGAGATCAATTGAATCCCATGTCAGTTGGAGAGGAGAACGAAACATTCTTTGTAAGAGTGTGAAAACCTCTCCCTAGCAGACGCATTTTAAAACCTTGAGGGGAAGCCTGAAAGGTAAAGCCCAAAGAGAATAATATCTGCTAGCAGTGGGTTTGGGCTATTACATCAATTGCCAACATAAATTGTTTACTGTGGTTTCCATCCTTAGAATCTTTTCTTTGAATGCTTTGATCGTATATGGACACTAGTTAGAGTCGGCGGTTTTTTTAGGGTTCCCTTGTGAGATCCCACATCGGTTGGAGAAGGAACGAAGCATTTTTTATAGAGGGTGTGGAAACTTCTCCCTAGCAGGCGTGTTTTAGAAACCTTGAGGGGAAGCTCGAAAGGAAAAGTCCAAAAAGGATAGTATCTGCTAGTGGTGGGCTTCCATGCCAACAACTGTTTCCATGCTTAAAGTCTTTTTCTTTGAATGCTTTGATCATACATGAACAGTAATTAGAGTCGGTGGCTCTCTTAGGGTTCCCTTGTGAGATCCCACATCGATTGAAGAGGGGAACAAAGCATTTTTTATAAGGGTGTGGAAACCTCTCCCTAGCAGACGCGTTTTAGAAACTTTGAGGAGAAGCCCAAAAGGGAAAGTCTAAAGAGGACAATATCTGTTACCGGTGGGCTTGAGATGTTACACGAGGTGCATCTGAAGTTGTAGATAGGTTGAACGTTGAACGTGAGTGATGACCGTAATTTCTCTACATATTTCTTCTCTATTCCAGGTCTTCTTGGTGTTATCTCCTTGCTTTCATTAGCCTTACACCAGAAGCTGCATCTCCTACTAGCGATTTTGTTGTTAACAGCTGGAAGTGCTGGTGTAGCCATAGCAGATGTCACCATAGATGCATGTGTAGCACAGAACAGTAGCATTCATCCGACCCTTGCAGCTGATTTGCAAAGCTTGTGCGCTTTGAGTTCTTCGATCGGAGCATTACTCGGGTTCTCTATTAGCGGTATCCTTGTTCATCTGATAGGCTCTAAGGTCCTCTATTATCTAAACTCTCTTCTGCTTCATACTTACATAATATCGAGGCTTTGATTCTTTCGTTTCTCTGTTAGGGAGTGTATGGTTTGTTAGCAATACCTGCGGGGCTTGTCTTTTTGGTTGGAATGATACTCAATGAACCCCATATGCCAGACTTCAATTACAGACAGGTATTCTATAGCATCTGTTATGTGTAATGTCTTCTTCCCTTGCTTTGGTTCTTACTTCATTGTCGGGAATCGATCAGGTCAACGAAAAGTTTGTCGGTGCTGGGAAGGCTATGTGGACGACGTTAAAGAGCCCGAACGTCTGGAGGCCATGTCTCTATATGTATCTATCTCTTGCATTGTGCCTTGACATCAATGAGGGACTGTTTTATTGGTACACAGACTCCAAAAATGGTCCAAAATTCTCTCAGGTATGTATATTTCCAAGATGAGAACACTATGCATATGATTCATGTCTTGCAGCCATTAGAACTTTTTTCTACTCTGTTCATTTCATTGCAGGAAAATGTTGGTTTCATTTTCTCAATCGGTTCAGTTGGGTCCCTTTTTGGAGCTTTATTGTATCAATATGTTCTCAAGGACCATCAGTTCAGAGACTTGCTTTTTTGGACTCAGATGATTTACAGTTTATCTGGGATGCTAGATTTCTTGCTGGTTTTACGTTTGAACTTAAAAATTGGAATGCCAGATTACTTCTTCATTGTGATAGATGAGAGTGTTCATCAGCTTATTAACAGGCTAAAATGGATGCCTCTTCTAGTCCTCAGCTCCAAGCTTTGCCCCAGAGGCATTGAGGGCACGTTCTTTGCTTTGCTTATGTCGATCGACAACGTTGGACTTCTTTCAGCATCATGGGGTGGCGGTTTCCTACTCCATATCCTTAAAGTTACTCGAACGAAATTCAGTAATCTATGGCTAGCCATTTTGATAAGGAATTTCTTGAGACTCACTCCCCTTTGCATGTTGTTTTTGGTGCCTAGGGGTGATCCGAATTCTTCGATTCTTCTAACCGAACTTCCAAGATCGGACGTCGATAATGAGACTTGTGAAGAAGCTGATAACATTGAACTGGTTTCCCTTGTCAATGGCATAAACATAGATAACCAGAAAGAAGCTTTTTGATGTTTGTAGATAAGATACGAAGCAAGCAAGCAAGCAAAAGGTTTGCATATTCCACTCATGTTGCATCAAAATTTTGTAAACTACTTAATTAGAGGATCATAAGAACAGTGAAATATCAACTTATTCCTCTTCCACTTCTGTTCTTTGTGGTTGGAAATGTTCTAAGATCCTTTGAATACCTTATACAAGATCTTAGATTTGGTTTATAGAAGATATCTTGTACTACAAAATTTAAGATAATCATAAAAATGAAATAAAAAGTCTACTTTCATTTAAAGACATATTTATGAATCTTCTTATACTTCAACGGTGTAGATTAGCTATAGCATTAAATATCTTCTTCTCTTTCATGTTTCTATTATAAATTCATTGAATAAAATAGAGATAAATGGTCGTTTCAAATGATTCTGTTTAAGAAAGAGGGGTTTATAAGGAATGGTAAAGAAAATGTTCTGATACAAACGTAATATTTAATACAAACATGATCATGGGAATTTTGGCTTCAATGGGGAACATTACTGCCTATCAATTAACATCTTTACCATACACATGACCAGCAAAATTCCCCTCCACAACGTTCATACCATGTTTTTCCTTAAAACATGAACTGGAAACAAAAATTACGATCTCGACAACTGATCTGGCTAAAAGTTTCGCATCTCTTGATTGTGAGAGACGGCCCCCAGTTTTCGTTTAAACACTCTGATTAGCATAATGTGATAGGAAGAATTCTCATTTTGCTCGTCTTCTTCTATCCCTATCTCTTTCTTTACCTCTATCTCGGTCGTGGTCATCCCTTTCTCTGCTTCCACTCTTTTCGCGGTCCCTGTCTCGTGATCTTTCTCGCTCCCTGTCAATGTCATTTTCTCTGTCCCTATCTCGGTTGGATGACTTTCGTACTGGGCTATCACTATGGCTCTGGCTACGCTGCAGCTTCCTTGATGAATCATGGCTATCATCTGCTCTATCCCTCCTCTCTGAACAGGTACAGAGGAAAAGGATTTTGAGTATATAGGCCAACAAGAAACTCAAACTAGTAATTTAACAATGAAGAAATGTCGATCCCATAGTTACAACCACAAGGTCGATTTGGAATCAGTAAAGACATCAACAAGATTCATTAAGCATTTAACTTTCTTTGAGGCATACAAGATCGTGGGAAAAAATAAGGATGATATCTCAAAAAGTTCAAGAGAGAAAATATGTTGACAGACAAAAAAAGGAATGTGATCACGTAAAGATTTCCCAAATGCATCATTCAAGGATAGGAAGTGAATGTAATCGCAACGAACATAACGGATCCTATCCTGACTCTTGGCCCAAACTGATTCCAAATTGAGTAAAAAAGTGCAGTTTCCCCCCAATATTTACTGATAAGAAACTGAAGTAAATAAACATGTAATAAACTAATAAACTAAATACTAGAAGATTATTAATCTCACTAAAAAGTAAAGTCACAAAAAGATCAGATCATACATGAATTTAGAACAATTCTAGAATCTTCTGTCCAAAAAGTTAATGAAGTACCACTTACTCTTCCTTGATGCAGCCTGATTGGAATCTGACATTCCATATTCAGATTCTAGTTGTTTTCGATAAATCAAAACTCTCCTCTCTATTTCCTCTACACTTTTGATGCCTCGTTCCTCCAAAGATTCACGATATTCTATCAAAGCCGCCTCAACACGCCTTAACTTTTGTCTGTCATAATAAATTCAGTTGAACAAGCAAAATACAATAAGATTCTTAAAACTCCATTTTAGATGTGCATAAATTAACAGATTCTATATAATTACGCACATGCCAAATTCAAATAAATTTATCTAAAGAGGAACAAATGGCCAGCAGGGCCAACAAGGCAACAGTTTTAATCTTGAAAAAAGAAAGAAATTGTCAGGTTTAGAAGTAGACTATATACCTCTGCTCTTCATTCAACCCACTATCAGGCTGCATAAGGACACTTGCTTCCGTAGTAATCTCCATCTCATCAGATTTACTGAGACCATCTCCTGCATTTTCACTTCCTGAAGATGAATAGCTCAACCCGAGACCCCTAGGACCTCCTTTTTGCTCATTGTCACTTTCATCATCCTCCCTAGCCCATTTAGAGGCCGGCAGAACGGGATCATTTTTCCCTGACTTGGTGAAACTTTTTAGTTCAGGCTGTGGAATTGAAAGAGTTTGAGCCATAGGTACAGAACCCATCCTCTGGAAATTTGCCTCGTCGTCTCCAAAATGGTTCCAACCAGAAATTTCGGCTGGATTTCGTTCAAACTTAGTTTCCTTTGAACTACTTGAATATCTTACAGTACGAGAATTACTATATTTTAAGTCTTCATCAAGTTCATATCCACTCTGTTTTTCTGCCTCTTCAAGACTTAGCAAACGTGCAACCATCATTTCTCTACCACCAACAAGAGACAACCCATTATGCCTACACCTTCTTTCCAATTCTCCGAAGGGAAGATTCATTAACTCCTTCATAGCTCCTCCTTTGCCCATTGCCAATTCAGCATCTTGATTGATTTTGCTCCCATCTCCTAACTCTTCACAATTGGCCTGCCGTTCAATCTCTGGGGCATCGCCACATAATGAATGAAAGGAGGTCACACCAGAGTTTCCTAAGCGAAGGAACGTGGCTCGCAATCCATTCACATAAGCATCTGAGAACAGAAACCAATCTGACCATACTTGCAATAATTTCAGCACTCGTTCCTGCAAAATCAGAGATGAGTATAACCAAATTAGCGCGTGTAGAAAAAAACATATGTTGGTCTCCAGAAGCTATAGGTGAAAAAATAAATGATTCTACCTTGAGGGCCTCTGCCGTAATTCTCCCTGTTATGCTACGATATAGATCATTGAAGCTCTCCATGATGTCAGGTAATGTTGCTTCAAATTTAGTACGGTATGCAGATGCATTCTTAACGGGAGCACTACTGTTATGAAGGATATCAGACACAAGCATCAACCTAGCAACTTTGGTTGGAATAGGAGTTTCTCTAAGCGTTAAAGATTCTGTTAGAACTTCAACTATCTGCAATTTAAAACATTAACTATATCAACGAAGTGAGGAAATGCCTGTGGAACTTAACATAGAAATACAGACATTCCGCAGATCATGGAAAAGTTGACACAAAGGAGATAAAGGGACAAGGACAAAAAAAAAAAAAACTTACTTTCCGTACACTGTACAAGATCACAAAATAAGCTATGAAAAGTATTCTTACACGATAAAACTATATGGAAGAGGAACAATGAAAATAATAAAACTGAGAACAATCATAAATCAATCACCCTTAACAACAGAAACGAACAGCCTAAGAAGTTGTAATTGATGATCTAAGAAGCAGAAGGAAAAGCCTACGCATAATACAAATGGGTAGGCTTTAACATCTTTAGTGTAGTATTGGCAATATTAGTTTCGAAAAGGATAACTAAGACAATCTGTATTTCTTCACATGCAGTTCAATTATCGCCTTAATATCATAGCTACCTCTCCAGCTGCATCAGCATTATCCAATGCGAACCCCATTGCTTCCTTTATCTGACTCCTTTCTAGTGTCAGTGCCCGAAGCATGTCCTCAAACTCATCCCTTTGTGAATCAGTCAATGTTCTTTCAAGCTCCACGCGCTATAGATGAACCACCCCCCCCCCCCCCCCCCCCCCCCCCCCCCCCCCCCCCCCCCCCCCCCCCCCCCCCCCCCCCCCCCCCCCCCCCCCCCCCCCCCCCCCCCCCCC